GTCTCCTGAGACTGCCAGTGTGTCTCCCAGATCTCCCAGACCCACAGCCAGTCTCGAATGTGATTGGCCTGGGTGGCAGTCCGTCTTCCTCTTCCTCACTTCCTCCAGGCTGGCCCTGTGTGCGAGCTGGGCTCACAGGTGCGTGCAGGTGTGGTCAGTGCATCAGTGTCCAGGCGCCAGCCTGGAGCGTCACGGGCATGACAGCAGGAGCAGAATAGGATGTCTTTGGCCATTTTCTATCATTGCTTCTTAATAAGAGCAGTCTTTCGTATCGGAGACCTTTCTCTGTACGTGTTTACTGGCAGTGTGCCCCCTGGTCCATTGTTAGAGCGTGCTCCGTGGCATGTGTGCCTTCTCATTGCTGTTCCGCTGTCCCAGTGCGTCTGTCCCCAGACGCCAGTGCCCAGCAGGTCTGCTTTTCTGTCTTGGGATTCAGTGACTCCGGGCCACTGTTACCGTGCTCTGTGCCTGTCCCTTCCCCGAGTGTAACTTATTCATGTCTTCTGGGGCATCCCTGTTGAGTGTGTGTCACAGAGGGCTCGGGTGCCAGGTAAGATTCCTGTCTGTGCTGCTTGAATACTTCAACTAGGTCATGGTAGCATGGTCTTCAAAGGCACACTTTTCTGCAGAAAAATGTCCAAGTTTCTTCCTAAGGGATTTCCGTTTGCTTTCATGAGGCGTATTCTCCAGTCTCTCTGGCATCTCACGTAGCTTTGTTGCTCATCTGGGGTCACCCCAGGGCTGCCTACCCATTGATGCTGTGGTTCTTTGAGGGGCGGGGGGAACAGGCGGGCAGGGTGTGTACCAGCTAAGTGCTCTGCCCTGCTGGAGGCGCCCTCGAGCTATGGGCTGACCCGCCACTTCTTCCTCCCACAGCAAGAGTACTGGAGGCTGGTAGAAGAGAAAGACTGCCACGTGGCCGTGCACTGTGGCAAGGTGGACACCAACACGCACGGCAGTGGGTTTCCGGTAGGGAAATCCGAGCCGTTCTCAAGGTAATTCCGAGCCCATGTGCCCTGCCCTGAGGCCTGGGAGGCAGCCTTCCCTGCTGGCAGTAACCGCTGGCCTCTTTCTCTCTGTAGGCATGGATGGAACCTCACCGTCCTCCCCAATAACACAGGGTCCATCCTGCGTCACCTCGGTGCTGTGCCTGGTAAGTGTGGAGCAGAGTGGACCATGCCTTCCTCCGTCAGCACAAGGGGCTCGGGGTGGAACGCCCAGATAGGAAACGGACACTGTGGATACAGGCTGGGAACAGTGAGCAGGACTGAGCAGCCGGCGGGGGGGCGGGGGGGGCTCAGCATCCAGCTTAGAACCTTGACATGGCTTCCTTCAAGCACCTCAGGCTCCTGCGGCCACAGCCTCGCGGTGTGCCTCGCGCAGTGCAGGAAATGGCAAAGGCAGTGCAGGCCATATTGGCCTCAAGTGCAGGGCCCTGTGAGGAGGCAGCTGAAACTGGGCACTAAGGACCCATTTCTGATCTGACTCGGAGCCTGTATCCCACAGCACCTTCCTTTACAGGCAGGTCACTTTTCTCTAGCCCAACCCTGGGGCCCTCCCTGTGTCCAGCACTGGTCCTTGATGGACTGGGCACCTCTTGTCAGCGTGCAGGTGGGTGTGCCAACCCCATGGCATCTAGAGTTGCCTTCCTGGGTGGGGCATTCTTGCTGCCCCAGGGAAATCGGATGTTCTGCCATTTTGAAGGTTGCTGGATTCTTGGTTTGGTTTTGTTTTTTAAGAATTTTATTTAGTTAGTTGAAAGGCGGTTATAATATGCAAAGAGGGAGCAACAAGAAGATCCTATCTGTCCGTACAGCAGCATGGACTGGGCTGCATCTTCACAGGGGCACCGAGCCAAGCACATAGGTTCTCCTTCCGCTGCTGTCCTGGGCACATGAGCAGGGACGTGGATGGGAGGTGGAGCGGCCGGGATGCACACACACAGGCAGCTGCTGAGCTGGGTGCACCATAGCGCTAGTCGTGTTGAGCTTTGACTGCGCCCTCTGCAATGCTGCTCCCACTGTGTTTCAGGAGTGACTATTCCCTGGCTCAACATCGGCATGGTCTTCTCTACCTCATGCTGGTCTCGAGACCAGAATCACCTTCCGTACATTGACTACTTACACACTGGTGCTGATTGCATTTGGTGAGTATGCCTGGTCCCTGGGTGCCCGAGCTTGAAGGCCTCCGGGCTGCGGGAGGGCAAGTGGAAAGGGGACGGTAGGCTGTTTCCCAGGGCCTGTTGGCATCCCTGCTTGCCATGGAAGTGTTCAGGTTGCCACAGGATATTGTCTGGGAGTTGCCTTTTTTGTGCCGACCGGTCAGTGTCTTTTTGCCATTGCTGCTAATAGTTAACCCACGGTTTTGATTCTGGGATGATGATTTTTGCATTGTTGATTTTTAAGTTTAAGATCAAGCTGTTGTGGAGGCCAAATCCTCAGCTTTCCTAACGAACCCTGGCTGCATCTTGGGATACCTCGCCACAACCAGGGCCTGCCTCCCTTCAGTGGTCGCAGCCCAGGATTTGGGGAGTTGTGGAGGCACAGGTGCGTCCTGCAGACGTGAGCCCTTGCAAGGCACAGCATGCCTGTGGGTCGCGGCCTGTGGCCTGAATGCTGCTGGATGTGACTTCTGTTCCAGATTCCACACTGAAGTCACAAATCGATGACACCATTTTAGCACTTTTGAGAAGAAAAAGCATTTGAAAATACAATGGCACGTTACTGAGTCCTGGGAACCAGGCTCTGACCTCCAAGGGAGGGGATCTGACACACAGCCAAGTATGCTGAGGGTGGGCTGCTGCGGTCTGGGGGTCGAGGGCAGGTGTCGGAGTCGCCGTCGCTGTTCTCCAGCAACGCTGTCTGCAGTTTGGTTTTCACTGTGGGTCCATAGTGAGGGCAGCCCAGGGTCCTCTCTGGTTCCTCTCTGCCCCCATGTCCTGCGGCGGCCCGGGGCTCAGGGCTGTTAGCACCAGCCTAGTGCAGCCCGGGCCTCAGAGCTCCGCGTGTGGTCGGTGTGGACAGGTGGGCTCCTTGAGTCGCTCCCGAGTCCTCTGTGGGTTAAACACCACTGTTGCTAACACTCCTTCCTCTCTCTCCTCCTCCTGCTAGCTGCCTGAGGCAGCCCTGTGGCCACACCAACTGCCAGGTGGGCTGCAATCCCAGACCGTGGCTTAAGGGGGCTGAGAGGCAGCTTTCAGATGGCAGGCAGTGCCCGGGCTTGACCCCTTGCCCACCTGGATTGGAGAACTGCAGAGCTCTTGTCCTTCTCCTGGCCCAGCTCCCACCTGGGCAGGCCCTTCTGGAGCTTCCTTAGGGATCTCTGGCAGGCAGAGGGCGCCCTTCTCGAGCAGGAGGCTGGTGGGGCTGGCCCTTGGGTCTGGTTCAAATTTACAGGGTTTTCTCAGCATCCGGTTTTGGTCGAAGGGCTTTGGCTGACAGTGTAGGTCAGATGTAAGGAAACTTTGAGTCTATATGTTGCGGGCATGGCTACGGTTTGGCCCCCTGTCAGGGAAAGACACCTGTGGGCGTGGTGGGAAGGGTTGGTTCCTGATGCCAAGCCAGCCCTGGCACTGGTGCATGGAGCTGGAGCTGCCTGTCCTGGGGAGTAGGGATGGACCTGCACCAGGAGAGTGACTGTTTGCGTGGGGCCTTTGCCCATGTGCTCTGCACCCCAGGTATTGCATTCCTGCTGAAGAGGAGAACAAGCTGGAGGGCGTGGTCCACACCCTGCTGCAAGCCAACGGCACCCCTGGGCTGCAGATGCTGGAGAGCAACGTCATGGTATGTGTACACCTCCCCAGGCACCCACTGCCCAGCCTCACCCTCCTGCTGGACCTGCCTTTTATGGGCAAAGATGACAACATGAAATGAACCCCCTTGTGGTCCCTAACGAGCACCAGGAACAACTCCCACTGCACTGCACGCTGGGGTGGCCAAGGCAAGGGCCTGCATGTCTGTGGAGGGCTGCCAGCAGGGAGGAGCAGCCTTCACTCGGTACGGAGGTCAGGCGCACCGAGCCCAGGGCCTCTGGCTGTGTGCAGTCTGCCGCCTTGGTCCTGTGGCTCCAGTGTTCAGGCTGCCTGGCACGTGGAGGATGACAGGGGCCTCATCTGACTCCAGAGAGGAGCCCAGCAGCTGCCAGCTAGGACATTGTTGGCAGGGTGGGCTTCAGGAAGGGGCTCCTAGTGGTCCGCTCAGCCTGCCTATTCTGTGATGTGTGCCAAGCCTGTGGAGAGCAGGTGCGGGTATGTGGGGACTCTGGGCATGGGAGGGAGCTCAGCCCGGCCTTGTCTCCCCAGATCTCGCCAGAGGTGCTTTGCAGAGAGGGCATCAAGGTGCACAGGACGGTGCAGCAGAGTGGCCAGTTTGTTGTCTGCTTCCCGGGCTCCTTTGTGTCCAAAGTGTGCTGTGGCTACAGCGTGTCCGAAACGGTGCACTTTGCCACCACTCAGTGGACAAGTATGGGCTTCGAGACTGCCAAGGTAAGCAGGACCAGCAGCCACCCCCGCCTATCTGTGGATGGACATTTGCGTTTTGAAATCTGTCTTTGAAATCCTGAAGTGCTTGCTGGGAGGCTCTTGTAGGAAAGCTCTAGATGTGAGCTGGTGTCAGGAAAGACCGAAGTGTGACCCTGCAGGGTCCCAGGAGCAGCTGCTGCAGCGTGGCACCAGGTTCCTGCCAGCACTCCTACAGGAGGGGCTGTGCCTTGGCCTGGGTCGCTGCTCTCTCCCTTTAGGAAGACACTCGCTGCCTGTCGCCTTTCGTGCGGACAGCTGTGTGCTGGCCTGATGGGATGTGACTGCTCTCTTAGGAAATGAAACGTCGCCACATAGCCAAGCCATTCTCCATGGAGAAGCTGCTGTACCAGATCGCACAAGCAGAAGCCAAGAAGGAAAACGGCCCCACTCTGAGCACCATCTCGGCCCTGCTGGACGAGCTCAGGTGAGGATCGGCTGGCCTGGGGAACAGGGCTGGGCCAGCCTCTCTGCCGGGGGTGCTGGCTTAGCTCCACGGTGGGCTTTGCTGATTTAGCTGTGCTTTGCCCAAGCAGGCCATGAGGGGTTTAATGGGGACCCCAGTGATGGGGAGTGGAGTGGAAATCAACCCAGAGGGCCTGGCTCCAGGAACTCTTTGTCAGCCCATTTGTGGGGTGTGCATTCAGGCTTGAGTGTCTGTTGAGAGCGGGAGAGACACCCCAAGTTCACTGGTTAGTATGGCCTCCCGGGGCTGTGAGCATCACTATTTCTCTGCCTGTCCAGAGAAATATTTTTCTGCTCTGGGCCTGGAGGTGTGTGCACCTGCTGGGACCACTGGCAGAATCCTGCCTGAGGGATGTGGGCCCTTGTGGCGGTGTGGGGGTACTGTGGTCCAGTGGCTGCACAGAGGGTCCCGGCAGGCTGTGGCAGCTGCAGGCAGGTCCTTGGCAGAGCTTGCTGAGCGCCGGCCTGTGCTTGTCGTGTAGGGACACGGAGCTGCGGCAGCGCAGGCAGCTGTTTGAGGCAGGCCTCCACTCGTCCGCGCGCTACGGCAGCCATGACGGCAACAGTGCCGTCGCGGATGGCAAGAAAAAGCCTCGAAAGTGGTTGCAGCTGGAGACGTCGGAGCGGCGCTGCCAGATCTGCCAGCACCTGTGCTACCTCTCCATGGTGAGGCCTCGGCGCGGCTGCTGTCCATCTCGGGGGCCCCGTACTCTGCTCCTTTTTTTTCTTGGGAGGGAGGCCCACCAGCCTCAGGTTGCAGCTTCTGTTCAGCTACGAGACCCCTCGGCCCCTGAGCACATGGCATACTTGGTTCAGGCGGGCTTTTCCTGTCTTTGCAGCCGCTTGTTTCAGGCTCCAACTCTGCAACCCTCTATTACCATGATGGTCGGCTTCTCTCCCTTTGCTGCTGGCCTCCCTCACCCCCCGGTGGAGCTTGTTGGGGCCAGTGCAGCTCCTTATGGGCACCTGCCCGACCAGCCTGGGGCAGGTGGCACTCTGGCAGCGACCCTGCCAAAGCTCAGGGCCCTGGACTCACGGGAGCACCCCACAGCAGGCAGCTTGACCTCTAGGCTGCTTCCCTTTGGCTGCCTGGAATGAAGTGAAAGTGGCCACCTCCCGCCGACAAAGAGAAGCTTGGTGCGGTCTCGTTTGCCATGAGTCAAAAGTGCCAGGAACTCTTGGGGTGGTGCTGCGTGCCCCTTCCGTCCGTGCTGGATGTCTGGGTCCTGCCTGCCCACATCCCCCAAACTCCCCAGGCGCCCTGTGGGGCAGGCCTCAGCCACTTCCCGTGGAGGCCCAGACGTTACAGCAGAGGGGACAGCCAGGGTTGCTGGTCAGGTTGGGGTTCTCCACGTACGCAGTGCTCTGGGGCTCACAGAGCCTCCAGGTCTCCCTGGCAGCCATGTGGGCTCCCGTGACCTCTGCTGTCCTGCCCCCCGTGCAGGTGGTCCAGGAGAACGAGAACGTCGTCTTCTGCCTTGAGTGTGCCCTGCGCCACGTGGAGAAGCAGAAGTCCTGTCGGGGTCTCAAGCTGATGTACCGCTACGACGAGGTGTGTCAGGCAGCGGTGGGCTCTGTGGGGGCCCTTGCAGCCCCGTGGGGAGGTCCCTGCTGTCTGTGGTACGCCCCTTCCAGCAGCACCTACATCCTCTGCCTCCGTGGGAGCCCTTTAAAGCGGGGGCAGTGCTTCCCATTTGTGGTCGCATTCTCACGGATCTTTTCCTGGGGCACGGGCTTGACCAGCTCCCCGGACCAGCCCGTGGGGCCACCTAGGGCCCTGCCCCACCGAGGGGCCTTGCTCTGTGCTCTCCCACCTGACCTGGCAGCTGGCCCCTCTCAGCACTGCCCTTGAGGGAGCCCATTCCCCTTCTGGACTGCGAACTTGGTCCTCTCTTTGTTGGTCACAGCCGCTTCCCTGCCAGGCACCAGGGCCTGTTAGACAGTGACGGTGTGGCTGTGTGCTCCCTTCTGGTCATCCACTTGTAGGCCACCCAGCAGGCCAGGCCCTCGGGGCGCTGCGCTCCCTTCCTGTGGCAGCGCACAGCTGCCCCAGCAGGGCACTGGTTGGCCTGGTGGGCAGTGCAGGGGTAGTTGACCTTGGCGTGAAGAAGCAGGGAAACACATCTCTGTGTACTCTTAGAAGATGCCTCGCGGAAGCCACCGGCTGCACGAGCGTGGAGTACCTGCTTTAGGGAGCGGGTGGGTGACAGGAGGGCCCAGGCTTCTTGACATTCAGGGTGGCAGAGCAGAGCCAGGCAGCCTCTGCAGTGCAAGGCTGCCCCTGGCTGGGCCCCTCCCGTTTAGAGGCCTTATCATCACCAAGAGTGGGGGTGTGTGTGGGCCTGTCACAGCCTCCTGTGACCTGCCGGCTGGGGTGCACTCCCCAGGCAGTCCCGGGGCCATGCCTTGAATCCGTCTTCTTTTCTGCCCCACACAGGAACAGATCATCAGCCTGGTCAACCAGATCTGTGGCAAAGTGTCCGGGAAGAACGGCAGCATTGAGAACTGTCTCAGCAAACCCACACCAAAAAGAGGCCCCCGCAAGAGAGCGACCGTGGCCGTGCCACCCTCCCGCCTGGCGGCCTGCAGCTCATCCAAAAGTGCTGCGGGGGCATCATGAAGATGCCAACACCATGCTCGATTTCTATATATTTTTTGTAATTATATTCTAGTTTGGAGTACTTGCTGTAGGATACAAGCTGTCTTTGCACTAGCTCTAAAGAAGATTTTCTTCTGGTTTTAGAGAACTAATTTTTGTTTTAGCATTAAACTGTTGAACCATTGTTTTTGTACTTAGAATACCTAGACACTGCAGTCCGATCGGAAGCTGCCGTATACTCACTGTTTTCAACCCTTGGGGCTGTATTAATTTGTATCGCCCCTGTGGCTGACAAAAGCCTTTTTTTGTTTTGTTTTATTGTTTTGTTTTGTTTTTTGTAACTGTTGGGGGGAAAAAGGCTTTTTAACCCGTTTTTGAAGAGGGTGAAGTTTGGAGAACAAAATTTTAAAACATCAGTCATGTGAGCAGATTTTTCTAGATTGGAAAAGGGATAGGACACACACACACACACACAGAAAACTTGAAGAGGAACGGCTTTGCTTCGGCTGTCTGTCCTTCTGTCACGTGCGAGCTGAGTCTGTATTCTGGAAGCCGGAGGAGCCCTGTCGGTGTGCTCTGGCATGTGGCAGCTGGAGGCGGACTCTGTCCTGGCCGCGTGCGCAGTGAGGAGACTGGCGTGACTCGGTTCTCTCACCAGCACTGCACTATGCATCTGTCTGAGGAAGGAGGGGCGTGCGGGAGACCTGTGCCTGATTTCATTAGGAAATCCATTCTGTTATTTTTGGTGCTGTTGGCTCCTTTATCAGAAACCCTTCAATAATAGCATCCCTACAGAGGGAAAAAAAAAACACACACACACACACACAAGGAAAACCAAGTGGTGGAAGCCCGGAGCGCTTCTGCGTCACCGACGTGCAATCTGACATTCCATCCTCGTCTGCCCGCTCCCCGTGTGCACCCGACCGTCAGCATTAACCCTCTCCAGTCCTTCCCTCTGTGATCACTCGTAGAGCCACTAGGTCTGCAGTTCTTTCTGAATGTGAAAATGCATTTGTGCTCATCTTGTCTATTTTTCTCTTCATGTTGTAACAAAAAGGAAAAAAAAAATAGAAAAAAAGAATCCCATCCCTTTTGTACATACGCCTGTAAATTGTTTTAAATACTTGAGCCTTTTCTCAGTGGGGGCGGGGCGGGGGGAGAAGACGAGATGAAGAAAAGCCTTACACTTCAGTTTCTTCATCGTGGCGTTGGATGCTTACAGGGTTTTTCTTGTAACGTTGATAAGTGCTGCTTACATCACTGAACAACAACAACAGAACAATAATGGAGTAGCTGTTGCCCGTCTCCGCTTGTGTGTACAGTATGTGTGGAATAAAAAAGGGAAACTGTTTTCACAAGCTGTTCTTTGTTTCATAATTGGATTCATCGATCCCGTAGCTACCCATATTGCACTGAGCTTGCCAGTGGTGACTGCCAGGAACGTTCTCTGATCCACTTTGTTGGTCGTCGTTGCGGAAGACTGAACTGTTTTGGAATATTTAATAACAATGACATAAACAGTCAAGTGTTTGCCAATGTGGTTGTCCAGTGTTCTGGCCTTGCTGTGTCCCCTTGCTCCACAGTGACTTCTGCCTCTGGCTTACAGGTTGACGTTTAATTTATTAGCGCTGCTCTGCACCCTCCCTGGGGAGGGGAGACGTCATGTGGTTTTATTGCCAGTTTTTGTTTACTTTTCAGCTTTGTACTACAAGGTTTAATAATAAAAAGACATTTTTTGGACACCTGTCTGTCTGGTGGAAGCTGAATGAGTGCAGCGAGCTGTCACGGTGGGTGCCGGCGTGGACCTGCCACGGAGGGGTGCCACTGCTGCTGCTGGAGGCTTGTGGGGCCCCTGCTGCCGTGGGCGGGGTCTGCATGGACCTCCCCGGTCCTCCCCAGTCCTCCCCAGTTCTCCCCAGTCCTCCCCGGCCATCAGGAGGGTGCTGGCGATGCAGGCCTTGGCCTTGGACCCACACGCGTGTCTGAGCTGGAGTTGGGGGCTGGCCTGCTGGCCCAGTGGTCAGGTTGGGATGGCAGAAGCGTGGTCAGAACAGAACCTGACTAAAACTCATTACATGTTGAGAACTAGAACTTTCTACATGTGATGGGGAGGTCATTAATACTCTCTGAACCAGGACCAGGGAGCCCACTTTCCCACCCACTTTCCCTCCCGCGTCCTACCTTGCTGATGCCAGGCTCTGCTTGGGGAACCTCTGCACTGGCCCTCTGGCTGTGGGTGCCCATGGGCCTTGGCACAGACAAGCTGGGGACTCCTGTGGTTTCAACTTTGCTTTATTCACAGCTCTTTCAGTCAACTTCTCACACATTTTTGGCAACTGTAAAAACCAAGACCCTCTATAGACAACCAGACTTTACAGGCGGGCTTGCGCTCACGCTCGAGTGTCGTTCAGTGTGCACGGATGTCCTGATTCAGGAGTCGCTGTCGTCGCTTGCCTCTGTGGCTGCCTTCCCGTCAGAGTGCAGTGTGGCCAGGGCCGTGTCCACCTGCACGTCCTCCTCATCCGACTGCACCATGGGGCGTGCGCTCCCTTCGCCCGCATCCTGCGCTGCCGAGTTGCTGCAGGTGTACGGGGAGGAAGGCGGCTCAGTGGGCAAGTGTGAAGGATGTGGAACCTCAAAGGTGATGCACGTTTGGGGTTCAGGCCCTACAAGGAAACGGAAAAAGAAACCTGTCATATGGTATGCCTTCAGGTTGCCATGGGCAACAGCAAATGGGTACAAGAAGATGGCATATGCTACTGTTGGTGGGCACTTGGGGTCTGCAGTGATGCTGTTTACCATGCAGCCTGTGCCAGGCCCCTGGGGGTGTGCGTCTGGGCCAGCCCACCCAGCAAGCCTGGACTGATGGCACCGGCCACGCAGCCCCTCCCACACCAGCGCCACGGCATGACGGCCGAAGTCCGCCCACCCCGCAGCTCTCCTAGGAATTCCAGTTTCTTTGGCGGCTGCACCGTTTCCGTGTTGTGCGCTGCCAGCAGCACGGCCCACACAACCCCTTCAGTCAGTGCTATGCCCCTGGGAGGATGAGGGTGGGGCCCCAAGGACCCCCCCTTTCTGGGACAAGCCTGCAGAAGCGCAGGGAGGGGATGTGGAAAACCACGGTAAGGAGGAACTTGACAAGGGGCTGAGGAACGCTGGGAGGGAAGAAGGTAAAGGGTCCAGGGAGCGGTGAGCGCAGCGAAGAGCCGACAAGGCACCTGGAAATGGGGGACAAAGCACCTAAACGGGCAAGAGCTGGGCTGGGCACACCCAAGCCTGTGGGCGAGGTACAAAGTTTACCTGAGCCTTGCGGCAGCTGCCCACACTCCTGGCCTTACACCTCACACTGGTTTGAGATGGACAGGTGCGGGCTGGGGGTGGCTTCCCTTTGGGGGGCACGCAGCATTATGATGTCCTTGAGTACCTGTGACAGGAGACTGCACGCTGCCCTCTTCGCCGCCGGAGTTCAAGAAGACGTCCAGGGCCTCCTGGTCGGAGATGTCCATGAGGTCCATGTGCTCCAGCATGTCCACGTTCACCTCCATGGACGACATGCTGCCCATGGGCTCTGCAACACAGCAGCACACAGTCACACCCGGCTCAGCACTCACGTGGGCGGGGAGCCTCTGTCAGGGCCATGTGGGGCTTTTAACATCGTTGCGGACCACGCGTACTGAACCTCAGCCTGCCACTGCCTGCCTGCGGTACAGCCTGCCACCCATCGCCACCTTCAAAGGGAACTGAAGTGGGCACACCTCAGCCTGCAGCTGGACCCGTGTCCCAAGTCCCCCTTGCTCACAGCTCTGCCTGTTCTTTGCGTCCCTTGGTTTACAGGCACTGCAGGCACGGAGCAGTTCTCGGCGGGACCAGCAGCAGACACTCGGCTCCTTTTCAGCCCGCGGCCCACTCCGGTCGGCTGCCAATGCGGGTTCTCCCCGCCCTGGTGGTCTGCACCGCAGCAGCTGCGGCTGGGCACTCCTTGCAGAGAAGGCACCGGCCGGCACAGCAGGCTGCCAGGGCGCGCTCGGAGCATGGCCAGGCTGGGCAGCCCACAGAGCTGCGGCAAGGCCCCTGCAGGTTCCACAGACACGTTCCAGAAGGGGGCGTGCACACGTAACCCTGGCTCTCACAGGAATAGGAACCGCCAGTTCCGACCCCACGTGGAGTTCACGGCACACTCGGGTCGCAGAAAGCAAACTGCAACCATCCCTTCCTGCCCACACTGATGGACTGCGAGTGACGTCACAGGGCTTCCAGACAGGAACAATGTAATCGCTGGATTCTAGAACTCCAGGCACATGTTCAATAATTAGAGCCCAGTAGAAAATAAACCAAAAGCCAAAGCAAGCTAAGCTGTGCTCAGCAGCTGGGAAAGAGGATGCATGTGCTGAACCCTGCGTAACAGCGATGCTCGCCTACACCAACGATGGACACAGCACCCAAGACAAAGATGCAGAGAAAGGCAGCCAGAGGACGCACCTGCCGACAAAGGGAACTTCTGAACAACATGTGAGACAAATGTCGTCTCTAAGATGTCATTTAAGATGCACTTCAGACCAGCAGAGCCTGCCTGAAGAAGGCGTGCCTGCTGGCAAAGGGACTCGAGTCGGAGAGGGGTCCTGTGCCGACCGGAGCTGCACAGGGGCTGAGTGACGGGTGGGCAGTCTTGGACACAGAATCACGCAGAGTTCCGCTTGACGAGATGGAGGACACACTGTGCGCATTCGAGGTTGGGGATGGCAGTCTGTCCCAGTGGACGCGCCCACGCTGGCGGCAAGCCCCGGCCGACCGCCAGGGGGCGCCAGGCCCGCTCTGCCGTGGTGCTGATGCAGGAGCATCTTCAGGGGCCGATCCTCACCCTGATCCCCACGGGGACTCGGGGACTCCTGGGCAGCCTCCACGACCCCGGAGGCTGCTGGTGGGAGGGCTGCATGAAGGCTCCTCCCGCGGCCCGGTCCCCAAAGCCCTGGCGCGGTGGCCGCTCTGCACGGCTTTCCTGGACTTTGCCTTCACTTCAGGTCAGACTGCGACACCTTTCTGAAAAGGCCAGAGCGCAACCGAAAACGGCAGAGAGAAGTGACAAAAAAGCAGAGGGAACGCGTTCAAGAAACGTGGCTGAGGAAGACAGTCCTGACGCGCGGAGTCTGGAA